CTGGACGAAGTATTACATATCAATATTTAAGTATTGAAATCAATCATAAGGTAGAATTTGTAACATTAAATATTGAAATACTTGAGTACTAAAAGCTATATTTGAATCACAGAATATTACTAAATACTGTACTTTTAATATTGAAAATAAGTAATTAATCAATGATTCTTAGTATGATATTTCTATAAGGGCCCTCGAGTTTCTCCTCAGTGGCTCGACTTTAACTACTAGGTTCATGATCGATTTTAGCTCATAAACTTTCTTGAGATTCTCTTGTTTATCAAAGGATGAAAAGTGGAAATCCTCTCTTTTTACTGTATTTCATCACTTAGCAAAGTATTACAGTTGTTACTGTATTTCATCACTTAGCAAAGTATTACATATTAATATTTAAATATTGACAATGTTCTGCGTAAGTATTTTATCACTGAATAAAGTATGACATATCAATATTTAAATATTGAAATCAATCATAAGGTAGTATTTGTAACACTAAACATTGAAATACTTGAACACTAAGAGCTGTATTTGAATCACAGAATATTAATAAACACTGTACTTTTAATAATGAAAATATGTAATTAATCAATGATTCTCAGCATGATATTTCTGTAAGGAACCGCTTCGGATTCGAAATTATTGAGGGAGGATTCGCGAAAATTTTAGAGGTGTTTGACAATCTTCAGTTTTTTCAACATTGATTCAACATTACTGTGCTGTATGGGATATAATTCAAATTTAATTATTACGCTTCCTATATATGCTATATAGGAAGCGTAATAATCAAATCTGAATCATATATAACGTTACATCTGATTATATATGAAAGATCTGATCAGATTTTGACAAAATCCTGGCTTTATATATTAATTAATGTCTGGCTTTTATTTGAACTTTTTTTCGCGGGATCTTATATAGTAAAGTGGATTTTTTCTTTTATTAAATTATACTTTTTTTATAATTAACCAAAGTTTACATAGTTTATTGACTTTGTTAGTTTAATAACTTTAGTTTTATGACTTTGTCTATTTAATAACAGTTAACAATAAAAAATGTGTATTATAAAAATTTAAAGATAACGAAATGAAATGTGCGGGATTTTGTAGACCTTATCTCATTAGAAACAGTTAGGGTTTAAATTAACAATAAAAGTACGAAAAATATAATTTTGATTAAAATAAAATCATTTTATTAAATCATATTATCAAAAAATTATATTACATAGCAAAGTAGCAAGGTGACGTCTAAAGACGTCATTAACCCGTTTCGCTCCAAAATGACCTAAATTCTGTCTTTTCTTCATTACAATAATTTTAATAGAAAACGTTTATAGATCTTTCCGATCACTCGATACTCTCCTCGATAGAAATCCATGACAATCACAGTATGTGCCCTAACAGCACGGGGACGTTCTGAGGACGTTCTGAGTAGATCGCAATGCGTATATTGCGATCATCTCAGAATGTTCTCATATGTACTGCGATCGACTGAGTACGTTCTGAGTACGTCCCTATGTCTGGGGTAACAGCTACTATAGAATTTCGCTGCGAATGTCGTGCGAACGTTCGCAGAGATGTCGGCAGTCTCAGGACGGAATAAAAACGGAAAGATTTCAGTACATCACGTATATCCCTTATAGAAATATTATACTAAGAAATACTGAAAAATTATTAGTGATTAAATATTACCAGTAATTCAGTAATTTTTTGGCCAGTACTTAATTTCTGGTAAATATTGATAATAAAATCACTAAATATTGATAGTAATCAAATACTGAGAATTATTATAAAAAATGAGAAAATCATAATGTTTACAAAAATATATTTATATTCCTAATTTCCTCATGTCTCATAAACTACTAGATATCGAAGATTGTCAACACATTCCAAACTTTCATGAATCCTCCTGCGATAATTTCGATCCCAAGCGGTATATCGCTGGCTGTTAGGGTTATACCGTTTTTTCGGAGAAAATAATCTCTTTAGATTTAATATTCGTACTTGTTTAATTTTGTGGTTCTTTTTTATTTCATTAAAATATTATATTCTTAAACGAAATATCATTTTTTAAAATGATGAAAATAAAACTTTTATTTTGTTCAAGGAAACCATGTCATTTGATGAAACAACACTATTGTTTTAAATAATATTTTTTAAAACTTTCTCTCAAAATTCAGTAATTCCATTTGTTTAATTTGGATTTTCTTGAATTTTTTAATTTTTTTTTGTTTGGATTAATCATTATAACATTTTGTTAAAAATGTAAAAGTAATTATCACTGGTTCACTACTTTACATTAATATTCATCGCATATCGAATGTTGCGTTGTTTCAATATCTGTCAGCAAATTATCCAATAAACAACAAGTAAAAATTATGTAACTATTATTTGGTGTTTGCTAGATATGTTATAATATACTGTGAACACTATAAGGATACATTATATAAGCATGAATCGTAAGAACATCGTTGGAGTCATCAGAGTCACCGCGTGCGCGCTCGATCGTCAGGTTAAGCAACAGTTTAGCGGTCAGGACATGGATGGATGGGTATCGATGGGACGGGGACGTTCTGAGGACGTTCTGAGTAAATCGCAATGCGTATATTGCGATCATCTCAGAATGTTCTCATATGTACTGCGATCGAATGAGTATGTTCTGAGTAAATACACGCGCGATACAAATGCGTACGTATCATTTCAGTCAAACTTGAGAATGTACGCACGCGATAGAAAAGCGTACGTATCATTTCCGTATCCCTGAGTGAAATCTGAGAACATTCGCACGTGAAAGAAAACCGAATGATACTATAAGTGACGTTCTAGCGTTCAACTTAGTACGTCACAGATGATCACAGTACAATGAGTACGAAAATGGGATGATACGCAGTACGTCGCGTGCTGTTAGGGTTGTTGACAGTACAGGTCCGAATTAAGAGTTTGGCCGTAGGGGAGCAGGTCATAGTGGATGATTCCCTGCCAATCCCACCAAACACACAACAAAGCCTTCCTGACCGTCAATCCTGGCTTGGCCACCGTTTGCGCCGGCTCACCGCGTTTCGACCATGACCGTTTTCGCTTGACGTTGTCTTAAGTGACCCACTTTTCATCACCAGTCGCCATCCGCTGCAGAAATGGGTCGATTTTGTTGCGATTCAGCAGCGATTCGCAGATGGAAATTCGGTCCATGAGGTTTTTTTGCGTTAACTCGTGTGGCACCCATACATCGAGCTTCTTTTTGTATCCAGCCTTATTCAAGTGATTGCAAACGGTTTTTTGTGCAATGTTTAGCTCCTGGGTAATCGAAATAGTGCTTACAGGACGGTCGGATTCGACGATTTCCATTATTTTATCGACATTTTCGACAATTGACCTTCCAGACATCTTGGTGCATCTTTGACATCAAAATTACCGGAACGGAATCGGGTGTATATCAGTTGGACACGGGGCAATTGGACACAGTCCAATCACAAGTCGCCGTTCCAAGGGACCCTACAAATGTCTCTAATCACACGGTGCTGTGATTGGCTGTGTCCAAATGCACTGTGTCCAAGTGCACCGCTCCCAACGGAATCGACGAAATCAAAATTGCGCGTGATTGGCTGTTACAGTATCAGGACCATAAACACTATTCACATTTTCAGCCGCCTGGCTTGCGTTTTCGCCTTTATTGAAGTAAAATATGGTGTATTTTCTCTTTGCTGGTGTCCATCTTTGACGCGCGCTCAAACAATACTGAGTCAAACAATCACAAAACTGTCTGAGAAGTTTTTTTAGTACGAAATCTTATCTTTCTAACGCCATCTAGCGTAAACCGATCGCACTTATACAACGCGAGATACACATTACTAAAGCCATTTATTGGAAAAATAATGGATTTCTCTTTACTACACCTTATATAAAACTACACTTGTTAAAATTTTCTACAGTAATTATTAGAGATTAATTCTATAATATATTTTATAATTTAGATATTTACTTTTATTCATATCATACTTTATAGATGCTGCGAAAAATGTACCTCTAAATAACAAATTTACAACACAACAATTTATAATAAATATGACACAAGTTTTAAGATCATACAAACAAATTGCACAAAACACACGTCTTAGCAACATGAAAGGAATACGTGATATTATACACAAAGAAAAACGACGGCAATTTCCTGATGAAGACGAAGAAAATCGTTAATGCTATTAATATTAATACCAGTATTAATATTTTTAAAATGCTTCTCCCACACGGAACAAAACTTCCATTGGACGTCCATTAGATATCCATCATAGAGATTCAGAACCTCTAATAGACGTCCATGGAATATCTATAAAGCCTCCACTCAACATCCAAATGTCCGCATCTTGGACCTCCATTGGACATCCAGTAGACGTTCTAAATAGAGATTCTATGGAGATTATGGACATACAGTGGATTTCATATGGAGTTTTACTAGAAGTGTTATGGATGTTTTCTGGATCGTTATGGGCAATTTCTAGAGGTTGGATGAATTTTCGGAGCTCGTAATTTTAATTCATTCTAATAAATGAAAACAGCACGGATATGTATAACAAAAATGGTTTTTATTTATTTTTGATGAGAAAGGATGCCATACATTAATACATATCAATATATATTTCAAAATAATAATATAATACAAGATACAAAAATATTCGCCGTATAATAAAAAAAAACTTATTCAGCAATATACCTGAAACATAAATCGGGAGATTATGAATCAAACAGATAAAAAAATATAGATGGTAGTAAATATATGGCTATTAGATAAAGAATTCTGAAAATAAAGTGGAATAAGTTGTTCTTACATATATGACTATATAAAAATTGTAAAATATGTGAAAAAAATATTTTTTTGGTATAACGAAGCCTCAGAAATGCACATTAATGTGCGATATGCGTAAAAATCGCAAAATTTGAAATGTGTCTCATTTCATCATTGGCTTTTGAATAAAGAATGCTGAAAATAAAGTGGAATAAGTTGTTCTTATATCTATGACTACATAAAAATTGTAAAATATGTGAAAAAAAACTTTTTTGTGTAAGGAAGTCTCAGAAATGCACATTAATGTGCGATATACATAAAAATAAAAAACTTTCAAATGCTTTATTTCATCATTGGCTTTTATATAAAAAATAATGCTGAAAATGAAATTGAATAAGTTGTTCTTATGGCTACATATTTTGTTATAAACTACTATAGCAACTATTTACTTGTTAGAAATTACTAACTTATATACTTACAAACTATTAGATATTTTATCTAAAAACATAAATTTAACGAAAATAGCAAAATATATAGGATACCTTGTTACCATACCTTTTGACACCGTATTAATTTAACATTTCATACCTGAAGAACTGCTTCCATATTTGATAAGCAACAATTTTTATACTTATGTTACGGTATCTATGTTGGTCTCTCCATATGAAGTTGTGCAACGTTTCTCCTCGTTGTGATGTCTTGCCTTTGAATGCCGGAACCATTCCATTATTCTTCGCTGAATTCTTTCTTGATCAGAATCAACCACATTCTGAAGAACAGATCCTAGGGAAATAATTGTCATGAAATATGATAACAATCTGATGTAAGATAAACGGCCCACTTTTCTCTAAACACTTATTCATACTCTTTCGATATATTTTCATTTTATAAATTTCCCTGAGCATAAAATGTCATATTGAATGTCGGTAAGGTAAGTATCAAAGCGCTACTATATATCATAGCTGCGTTCGGGGAGACACTATTTGGCGCTATGAACGTGTTCTGTCCTTGTTACTTACAAAAAATGGCACAAGGACAGAACACGCTTTTAGCGCCAAATAGCGTCTCCCCGAACGCAGCTTATATCATTTTCGAGATAATATTTTACGCTCAGGGAAAATAATAAAATTAAAATATATTCGAAGAATCAGTAAGAGAGAGAGAGAGAGAGAGAGAGAGAGAGAGAGAGAGAGAGAGAGAGAGAGAGAGTGGTTCAGCGTGAGAAAGTGGGCCGTTTACCTTATATATTCTACATTATATATCTAAAAATATTATTTTTTTATTATGTTCTATTATATTTTCTCCAACGATTCCTCTTGGATGATGACCTTAAAGGGATTGCAGTAGAATTAAGAGAAAAATATTCTAAACAAAAAGATATTATTTTTCCTTATAGGAGATTACCAGATTCCCTATAAAGAGGAATAATATTGTGTTTAGAATATAATTTCTCTTCATTTTATTAAAAATCTCTTCAAGTCGATATCCAAGAGGAATTCCTTTAAAAACAAGATTCAATGTTTTGGATGTATACACCCGTGCACAATAATTCGTCCCGAACTAGATGTAGCAGGTCAAGTCCGAGAAGTGTCTACCCTGATCTGTCTACAAGAATTATGCATTTTTTGAGCCACATACACATGTATAATTCTTGTAGATAAATCAGAGTAGGCAATCTTCGGAATTGACCCACTAGATCTGGTTCAGGACGAATCATTGCCCGGGTGCACGGGTGTATTACTTGATAAAAACGCAAATTTTTATATAATTATATTTTACTTACTGAAAATTACTTTCATAATTTCTAAGTTGTGCAATGGCTCTTTTCCACGTCGGCCTTCCCAATTATATCTTTCCGCTAAACTGTTTGAGAATATTTTGTATAGAGCCCTCTTCACGGCATCATCAACGTTGATCCCACCTATGGATCTCACATATGCGCGCTGTATAACAGAAGTATATATTATTATCTTACATGAAATTATAAAGTACAGAGAAGCACTATGGCAGAAAGGGAAGGGAAGGGGGGGGAGGGAGTGAGAGGGAGAGAGAGAGAGAGAGAGAGAGAGAGAACAGTATAATATAAGTTAATATGTATAAACCTACTATTGCTTCAGCGCTTTGGGAGTTTCCTTTTAAAATTTTTTCAACGTCCGCTATTTGGGATTGTGTCTCCAAAGGGAATAATTTTTCCACTTGTTCAAAAGAATATCTCGGGTTCTGCGCTTTTTTCTCTCTTTCATTTCTTTTTACTAAAATATCCAAGAGGGCCAATGCATGTTTGACATCATATTTTATTATCATCATTTCTCTGCTCAGTTTTTTTACATGGTCCACTGTAAATACAGATTACATTCTTAGTACATCCTATTTATTTTCTTCTATTTTTTAAGAGTCGAAATATCATTTCAGCTTACCGATCGTTGCTTGTGATGACTGATGATTGACATTATCATTAGAAAAAATAATCTCCCTCTCTCCAATATTCTGCCTGTCATGAAATGAGTCACCTTCTTGGGATATATCGGCATGTATCCTCGATCGATTTGTATCTTCCAAATTTGAACGCTCTTTAAAGTTGTTGTGAACTTCTTCCTCTCTTCCATGTGACGAACAGTTATCCGCAGCTACGTATAGAAAATAAAAGAAATATTTAATCAATTATTATATAGTTTATTACTATTCTCAAAATTGTAATTGAATTACATTCAAGTTAGAGAATTAACTTTTCTTGCTTACCTTGTGACAATGAGCGAGAGTCCTCATATATTTTCGGCGATTCTCGATCATAATTTTTTCTTATATTCCGAGAAATTATCTCCTTTGAACATGCAACAGATGTGCTTGCGCTGTCATGAACGTCATATCTGTGTCCTTGATTCTTCGCAACTTCATGTAGAGTCAAATTGAAATATTAATATTTATCACTCTACACTAAAATACATTGTGACTACTAAACGCCTTCTATAGCACTTTTGTTCATAATCACCTTTTGCAGGAGGAAGCGGAGGAGATGGAACAATAATATTTCTGCAATGCTCTTCTTCATCATCTGATGAAAATATTATTTTCTTTGCTCTGTGCTTCCTATTTTCTTTTATCTCCTTTTCAGTTGCCATGTCTGATGTATAAATGGCCCTTTCCGCTTTCTCCTTAACTTTTTGTACAGACGCTGAAAATGCGTTATAAATACATCAATACTAATGAACATGTTATATACTGAGACTGTAATGTAAAATTCTATCCATTTGCAATTGAAATACTTACAATATTCGCCAAATGTCCGTATAATTTTATGCGAAGTCCAATCAACATTCGGTACTTCCTCCTTTTCTATTGCTTTTTTAATTCTTTTATCCGTTTTATA